GGGGGGGGGGGGGGGAACCCAGAGGAAGGCTGCATTTCCAGGCAATTTTGTACCTCTTCCCAAGAATGCGGGAAGCTCTTTGCAGTCTCCTTTCCGTAGTTCCCAAATTGGGAATTGGCCAGTGTCCTTGGGCCTGGCCAGTGTGGCTCAGTGGTTGAGCATTGACCCAGGAACCAGATCATGGTTGGATTCCTGGTCAGGGCACATGACCAGGTTTCAGGCTCTATTCCCAGTAAGGGGCATGCAGGAGGCAGCTGATCCATGATTCTCTCTCATCACGATGTTTCTATCTCTCTCCCCTCTCTGCAATCAATAAAAAACATAACTAAAAAAATGTCCTTGGTCCCGGGGGACACTATTACATGATGAAGAAAAGGGTAGCACCCAAAGCAAGAAAAGAAAAGCCATCATTTTTTGATGCTAACGTGCTGGTTAAAGGGTGTGACAGCTGGAGTGTTCAAGCTGTAGAGCGATGGTGACTGACAGCGGCTCCACCTACCCCCACACCATACTCACTTTCCTCCGTTTCAGTCACAGTGCCTCGATGCTGGAGCCAGTTCTCCTTAAGACTGAACTGGTGGAAAAGGGCCTTATTCTGTGAGAAGGGAGAACAAGAACAATGAATGAATGTATTCCTGCCCTTTGGAAAGCCACAGCTGTTTACAACATGTTCCAAAAGAGCTGGCCAATTTCTTTTTTAAATATGAGATCCACCCATCCAATCACAGAGGAATAAACTGGGAGTTGCCTCAGCTAATGCATGTGGAGGTGGACAGTCTGAGCAACACGACAGACCTCCGTTAAGGCCAGCAGGGCAAAAAGTTCCTCCCATTATTCCCTGCCACAAGCTGCAGAGTATCTGGTTATGACAGACACCCCCAGATTCTTCTGAGAACCCCAGTGTCCGCCCTGCTTTGGGATAAAGCAGCCTTGAGATGGCCTCATACCCTGCTGTAGGACAATGACTTCCCGAAGGGAAACAGGTACCTTATCAGCTTCTATAAAACTTGTGCCTGAAACTCACTTTACATTCTCTCCCTCCAGTTGAATAGGAAACACATTCATTCTGGCTACCACCCCTCTTTCTGGGTTGCAAGTGCGAAACTTTTTCTTCTAAGACTTTTTTACTCTTGCTGTCAAGATTCTTGCCTGGAATTTTTTCTTCTTCTTCAGTGTTTGACATTCAGATTTGCATCACTCTCGGGACACTGGGGAAACTCGGAGACTTCAAAATGCCCCACCAGAAACAAAAAAAACCCCAAAACAAAAACCTGAGAGCAAGGCCAGGGCACAGGGCCGACCCGAGCCTGCACTAGCCCAGGGAGGTTGATGCAGGAGAGTATAAGCAAGCTGCAGCCTAGGTCCCCAGCCTCTGAGCCTAATCACCCCATCTCAGGCAAGAGGGGCTGCCTTACTTACCTTCCTCTGTGGTGAATATTCGTCCACGGTGCTGAAAGGAAAAGAAGGAGAAGTCAGTCTTTGTCCCCAACCCAGAATAACGCAGCTATTGTCGCCGAAGACTCATTTTCAGGCCCTGGGCGGAGGCTTTTGCTTTTCCAAAAGATAAGACACTTGACCTTGGGCAGTGGGTTCCCAGGGATCCGGGCAGACACGGAGCCCGCAGAAAGCGAACCCTGCAGGCCGAGCCAGCTCTCTTCCCTCCAGAGAAGCCCCAGTGCCCTCAGAGGTGGACAGATTTCCGCGGAGAGCATCGTCACTGCGGGAGCTAAGGGCTGCACTGCATCTCTCCCAGGATATTTCTGTGTGTGCTGGAACTGGGGACATTCTGCAGGGCCCCAGCTCAAATCTTCTTCCAGAATCTAAAGACATTGCATCATCGTGTACCAAAAACCCAAGGGCTGTGTCTTACACCATTTTCTTACTTTAATTTATTATTTCCCACTTCTATGTAAGTTCTTTAATGAAATGTGTTACATTCCATTCATGCCTTTAAGGCATTTAAGTGTATGAAGCCAAGGACGGAAGGTTCCCAACAGGAATAAGGCCTCCCTGCAGCACAGGCCGCCTTCCACAGGGGGACTATTTTGATGTTGTTTGTCTTTCCTTTTTGTTTCATTTAATTGTTCCTATTTTCATACTAGTCCTGGGCTATGGAAACGGTAGAGTGCAGGCTCCGATAAAAGGAGGCCACCCTAATCCACAACATTCATTTCTAACATACAGTCCCCACTTACAACTCATTTCTGAATTTCTAAACATGTAATTTTCATGTTTGAGGATTTATTTGCTCCCTAAAATTACCTAGACATTTAATTTGCAGGAGGATCATTCTTTACTGAAATCAAGTCAGGTTTTAAATCTCACATCAGTAATCTGGAAGGCCTGAATTAACATTTTCTAGGAGATGTGCATTGGAGACTGCTGGAATCTTAATAGAAGTTTCACCACTTGACAACAGATGTGTTTCGTGTTTGCTAAGTAGAAATCACATTGTAAATCAGAGGACAATTTTCCCCTTCAGATTAACTTTGCAGCTATAGCTGAATAATGAGTTGATGTTTTCATTTACCAAAATGAATAGGAGAGTTCGTATAATCAGGGCAAAGTCAAGTTTTGGTAATTTGAAAGACTAACGATAGATACCTGGGGGGCCCTTGGTCATGCTGAAAGTCATTGAGTAAATGGTTTCCTTTAATCTTTCTAAAATGATTTAAAAAAACCACAAACACCCTTGGGAGCCCATAAAATGGAGCTTTTAAAATGCTCTATGACTTGCTGGGACTTATTTATAAAATATTTTTTTCCTATTCCACCAGAGATAGCTATGAGCCCCTAAAACAGCAAGTTAAATAGTTACACTTTTAAAATTACATATTAATATATTAAATAATTGTTTTTTGTTTTAATCCTCACCCAAGGATATATTTACTGATTTTTAGAGAGATGAGGGGGGATAGAGAGAGAGAAACATTGATGTGAAAAACATTGATTGGCTGCCTCCTGCACGTCCCAACCAGGAATTGAACCCCCAACCTAAGTATGTACCCTGACCAGGAATCGAATCTGAGACCTTTTGGTGTACCGGACGACACTCCAACCAACTGAGCCACCTGTCCAGGGTTGAAATTATTGTTTTTAGATTGTCTTGGCTCAGTTTGTTTCTCTTGTATCAAAAGAAAGTTAAAAAGTAGTCGATAAGCTTGATTTAGTGTTCATTCATTTTGAGACATAAAAACAAAACACAATTTACAACTAGAAAAGCTAAAGAAATCAAGATGACGCTCAGATTCAAAATGAACTTTCTGGGACATCTCGAATTCTACCACATTTGCCGCTTCCTTTCATTGACTGTAACATGGAAAATGAAATACATACTGACGACGGTGCATTCCAAGTATCTTTTGAAATTCTTTCAATTCTTTTTCAAGTATTGGATATTCATATACATCATCCAGTACGTTCCTGTATATGGTCTGGGGGGAGGGGGGGGGGAGAAAAATGGCAGTTGAATTGGTTTAATGTCCATTTAGTAATGTCCATTTAGACTTATACAACGGTTATGCCCAGGGAATTGGTGGCCCCCAGGACAACACAGGGGTTCACCCAGGTACCAGGGAGACCCTAAGTGGGGTCACATCTCCGAGCCCCTCACTCAGCTGGCACGGCCCTCTCCTAGCTCTTAGGGCTGTAGGTAGGAAATGCTGGAAACTCGGAGCTCTCTGGCTGGCTACTGCAGATTCCTATGCCTGTTCTATCCTTTAAAAAATGCTACCCACATACTCATCTGGGAGGGAAAAATGTCAATAGAGTTACATTACCCAATTGTTTTAGAAACAACGTTAGTTTAGTCAAAGAGCTGGTTGAACAGCTTTTCACTGGATGTCTAAATGGCATCTGAATTTTGAATTCGAGTGCTTTACTCCATGAAAGAGAAACAGCCAGACACTTCCCTGTTCTGAAACAGAGCCCTTCCTGGCTCAAGTCCCATTGGCCCCTCTGCACAGCTAATACGGTTTGGGAGGCCAAAGGACTCCAAGCACCTACAGATCACCTCCAGAGAGTGATCTGTGTTGAAAAGATGGGGGAGCCTATTACTGATTAGAAAAATACATCAGTTTATCTAACTCCAAATGTACATCTAGGTTAGCATCTATCCTATAAGCTATTATTACTTACAATTCTCAAAATATGCCATATCCTCAGAAAGGTTCATAATGTATATATGTTGGGAATAAAGTTTTTAAATGATAATGTTTTATCCAAATATTGTATATATGAGACCGGTTAGTTCGAATTTATAATAAATCCCAATATATTAAATACTATTAAGTTTTGAAGTACGTTTTATTTTACCTTCCTTAATTATTTCATTTGCACTCAAACTTCCCATGACTTGTATAAGGTAACATTAAGTTACTGAATGTAAAATTTGCCCTCTACGTTTTTTCATAATGAATTAAAATTTTAAAAATTCTATCTATGTAAGGAATATCAGGCCTTAGAAGTCAAAGCAAATTAACACTTTGTTCAAATCATGACTATAACCTACAAATGAGTTTTTCAAATGCATAACTAAAAATAAAAGCAGTCATCTGGCATGAAGGGATAGCTGGCAGTTTCCCATTACCTTTAAGAACATTTTGGAATGTTCATCTTCATGTAGCCAGTCTTTGTACAGAGAAATCCACTGCGAAACAAGATGCAAGACCTTACGTTTCCGACAAGGAACCTCGGAGTTTTCTTCTTTGCCTTGATACTTCTTAGCAGAATAGGTGCAAGTGGTTAAGAAAGAATAGTGCCTTGTTGGAAATAAAAATGTTCTTATGAAAGCATATTTTCTAAAGAATCTACAGGTATCTAAGCTTACAAGGAAGGAAAGAATATCTGTAGAGAGACCAAAAGGTGTAAAGCCAGGAAAAGATTTACACAAACTCAGAGACAGGCCATGCAGATGAGGGTTAGACGATGCCACTCTCAGCTGCTGACTTAGTTCCGCAGGTGGCACAGGTTACTGTCACCTCGAAGAGATACCAGGTGGCCCGTTAATTTCAAGGGTGGCTCCAAAGGATCTGGCCGCACTGTTTCCATGAAAGTTAGGAGAGAGTGAGGCCACATGTCCTTTGCTCCTCAGAAAGTCACATCCTGTAGATCCAATTACTTCTAAAGTAGCCCCAAATGAGCACAGATTTCTGAAGCATAATTTGTGACATTTTCCAAATGCCCACCCCTAGGAATTTACTTGAAATAAAAAGGGACTGGATAAATGTGCAAACATAAATAAAAAGGACTGCTAATTTTAATTTTCACTGGACTAAAGAAAATATGAATGCTTTAGTCCTTGAGGATAGTTAATGAAATTATTTACATATCCACTTAATGGGCTATTCTACAGCCATAAAACCGATAGCCCAGCGGTACATTTACTGACAAAGAACATCCCAGCATATCGTTAAGTAGGAGAATAAGAAAAGGGCATGTTAGGATGATCCATTTCCATTAACTATGCTCATTTATACAAATAATTCCATTACCTGGAAAGATATACTGACAGTTAACAGTGGCTTCTCAAGGTAATGAGATTTCAGAACACATGAATTGCTATTATACTTAAAAGTGTGTTTTCTAATTTGTATACAATGACCATGTGTTAACTATGTTGTTAAAATTGTT